CTTATGAAAGTTAACTTACATCTTATATCTATTATTCAGACGCAATGATATTGTAGTATATCAAAGTAAGTTGAATATAGATCTGAAATGTACTTAATAGGTCATATAATGGGAAGTTCGAATAAGATATGGTACTACAGGACGTTGCTGGACCTTTACTGGCTGAGTTTAAGCTAGGGTATAAACTGCCGGAACTTATTAGAACTTAACACAAAAACATAGTATGTGTACTTGCTTACGATGGACTATCACTTCTTTATAGAATCAAGATCAGGTTAGGCTTGGATGGGACTAGGAATTAGACTAGATAAATGAAAAGCTTCTATTTATAACGAAACATCGTATTTACCTAGCGCAACTGTAATACCATGTGACTGGTTATTCTCACTACACATAGGTGGATAGTGAAGGATATTGTTTTCGACATCTTGAGACAAAATCGCATGTAGTAATGTTCTCCACTAGTGGTAATATGATACACCCAACGTGAGAATAACAAAGAAACAAATCTAACTTGAAAGAAGTTCGACTTAATAGCTTAATGGCCATTTGTTATGTGAAAATCTGCACATATTCAGAACAAAGAACAAATTAAAAATAAACGTTGACACTATAGGAAGACGAAACTTATGATATATTACTATATTACAATATAAGTATTTTTTTCTTAGTGAGATAAGAAAACATTCTTCACTTTCCATCTAATAAGTATGGTCCCTTAAATAAAAAACGGTGAAAACTCAGTCGGTTTTATGACAGTATATGTAAATAGGAATAATTTTATTTATTCATAGGTTTTTTGCTGTAAGCTCCAGAATGTGTATTAATTAGTGAGATGATTGAAAACTAATTAGCGGTTTTATTTTTGTTGAAAAGACAATCAGTGCTCCAAAGACCAAAACCATATATCGTCGTGTTGAATCTTTCAAAGAGGCTCGAGATTTTCTAGATATCTCTGGAGAACTGAGTCTGAATATCCTAGCAGATAAGGTGAACGTACAAGGAAGTGGTCAATACTTGAAAGATTTCACGTCTTCCTCGAAATATATTGAATATGTGGTGAACGTCAATTTTGAAACGGTAAGAAACATCGAATTTCTATACGAGAACCTTTTTGAAGCTGAGAACAGCAGAGTTTCAGTACATCTTACATAACTAGACATTTGTGAAATGAAAAAGGAAATATCAAAAGTCACACAATTTTGAGATATATGTAAAAAAACAACAACAACAACAAAAACTCTAAACATTTTGAAACAAGGGCAACAAATTATTTGTTTTATTGTTTATGATAAAGTTACTGAGGCTTATCTGCCGACCACAGGGAAAACGGCTGGATAATTTTTAACAATGACCATAACATCATAATGCCCCCACTACTGAAAGGACGAGCATGTTCAGCTCTGTGTTTCGACCCCGTGACTCACAGATTATTTGTTGTTAAGCGTAAAGCCACACAGTGAGCTATCTCTGCACTGCCTACCGCGAGTATCGAAATCTGATATTCCGCGTTATGAGCCTCCCAGACTACCGCTGAGCCACTATGGGGCAAAACTTAACAACAAAGAAACAAAAACAAGAAAATACAGTAAGTCCATACTTGTAATAGGAACTCTTAAAACAAATTCACTAAATTTATGAATTGTTGTGTACAAGATATTAAAATATTTCTGCATTGGAAAATCTTGCTGAAGTATGCGTTCTCTTATTAAACTTATAATTAATCAATAATAAACATTAGTAATTTTATAAACGTTCTGCGGGGTGACACGGCAATGTTTGCATAGTTCTAGGCAGGGCCAAATTAAGAATTATTGAGGCCTTGCGCACTAAGTGTCTTGCCTTCCTTATACCTTTATTATAAATATCCATATTTCCAACTGTTACACTAAATATTTAATTTGCTTCCAACGCAAAGTTGTCTGCGTTCTGCCCACTGTAGGGTTCAAGCCCTGAAGTTTAGCATTATAAGCCCTCGAGCTTACCGTTGGGTTACTGATGAAGACATATTGAGTATTCTTCTGTTTTATGATGTACCTTGGTTGGATAGCGGTAAGTTTACGTGCTTACAATGCTAAAATACGGGGTTTGATTCCCCGTCGTGGACACAGCAGATAGTGTAGTGTGGCGTTGTTCTAAAACAAACGGTTTTAGTACAGCGCCACTTTCTGTCTGCATGTCTCAAAGAAGATTCTTACAGAACAGAACTGTAAACTGTTAACATAATATGTCTTTATTGCATTTATTTATTTATTTTCTTAATTATTATAATAAATTTGTTGAAGCCGTTGGGCCTTAGACTTGTAGACCCATGCATTAATTTGGCCCTATGCTATTATTTTAGGTTACAGAACGCATTTCGGAAAGTGCCAAACCAGAACAAAACTGGACTAGTTACTCTAACCTCGGGACTCATTTTGTTCGAGCAATTACTTATGGAGGGAATCTGGTGGCTTCTCTTCGTTTCATTCTGGAAGATGAAAGTTTCAAAGAAGAGATTTCTGGAGAGTTAAATTTCGTGCTTGGGAAAGGCGGTGATGGAACACAGTTGAAAGGTAAAAGATTTTATTTGATAATTAAAATAGAAACAAATAAATATGTAACGAAGTTTAAAGTTTCATTTTTTATTTAGGGTTATTTAGAGGAAAACAAATTAAATAATGAAATCCATGATAAATGCGAACAAGTGAAACAACATGTTATTTGCATTTGTGGCAAAGGTACGAAGGCGGTCCCGCGCCATTCCTATGTTTTAGGAGTATCATGGCAAGTAGTCTTTCGAAGCACATCTGAAGAAGACTACTCCAGTAAAACTGAGTTTATTCCAGGTTTTAGTCTATTTGTATTTGTCCGAATCAGAAACAGTTAAAGTAGCAAAATTGTCCCAGGTTTTCTGTACTTCAATGTTAATTTCAAATTTACGGTAACCATTATATATACGGCTCCTTTATATTTAACTTGTAGAATCATTTGTTCAAGTTTTCCACCCATCTCTGCTACGTTATCATAAGAAGTAAAATTTTCGTTACGAGTAGACTCAAAACAACTTGGTCGTGTTTTTTTATATTTCTATTCATTTATTATTGTTTTAAGTACATAAGTTTTTAAAAGATTTTATTTGTCTATGGTTTTAAAACGCGACACATTTATTATTAGATTATGTAATAAATTTAAAAATGGTGTTATTGTAATTTAAACTATTTTGGGACTGTTACACTGTGACTCCGAAAGGAAACAAATGTCCCAATTTTTCACTCTGGAAATCTAGTAACCCTACATCTGATATATTATTATTTCATTCCATCTTCAAACACGTCTTTCTCACAGTTCGCCCCCCTGTGGGACAAGGGTAAGTGTACGGATTTCGATTCCCACAGTTGGACACAACAAATAGTGTAATGTGGCCCTGCTTTAAAACAAACAAACAATTATCTTTTCCAAATAAAGAAGAAGACACTTTTGGTTTATTCTTCTCTTCTTCCATTTTAAAGTATGGTAGGTACGTGTATTAGCTTTCTGTGACACAGTACCCCCTTTTGTTTTGTTATTATTGTTATAATAATTTTTCTTTAAGATAATCAATAATTTTGAGACAATCATATTTTATCCACAATAAGATTCAATCATTTCCCTCTCGCTTCGGGTGCGGGTTAACCCTGTGGTAGAGCTGTTGAGTCATGATTGAGTATGCGCGATGCCATAAAATATTACCTGCACTTTAAGCCGCGGATGCGTTATAAGAGCGAAAGTCAATCCTTCAGTGAGGAGGTGGGTGGCAGGGTACTGTTGACTGGCTGATTTACCTCTTGTCAGTAATTAAATTTAGGAAGGGATAACCTTATTAGCTGTGCCACAAATTCAAAATACATGTTCGAGAAAAATGAAGATTAGCAAGATCACTGACCAAAAGTCACTATCTGAATTGGTATTGACGTACTAGCTGAAGTACC